CCTGCACATGGGCCAAATTTCACGATTCTCACGCCCACCACTCAGTCAAATCTCAACCATTTGGGACAAATTTGGTATCAGGAGAAAGCTACGAACCCGGGGAATTGAATGGAGAGGTCGGGAAGGCATGCTACAGAAAGGAAGAGACAGATGAGTGTGGTGTGATGGTGGAAATTGGTGGAGGACAGCAATTATTAGCAGATATGACCTGCTTATCACTTGTCATATCCATACAATCCTGACCTCCACTCCGGGCTCCCGGAACTCCAAAACTGACTCCGGAGCCCTACTTCCCTTCTGTCACCTTCTCCTTGCCGATTTCCAAGAGGTTATCCCACCTCAGGCTCTGACACCACCTTCAGTCTGACTCTGGAACATTCCGGGTCCGACCTCAACCTCGACACCTCCCAGACGAGCACACAACACCTATGCTCCCGACTCCGGTCCTCTGCTCTGAAATCCTGTTCGTGTCTCTGTCTCTGGAACTCCGGTCTTAGCTCTGACCTCGGACTTTGACCCCATCTCCACTTATACCCATTGTATTTGTCACGGCCGTGCATTCCAGCCCGTTCCCCACCCATCCCGATGCAGCCTGAGCCCATTCCCGCTACGTGAGTGTGAGCGCGAGCCCCAACCTCAGCCCTATCCTCCCTGAGGACTCCCTGCTCACTCCCCCGCTTGCCCCTAGGCTCCCCTGCACCTGGCCGACTCCCCCACAGCCACACCAACCTTCCCACCCTGAGTCCGCCTCCGGCACCGTGCCCAGTGCAACTCCCCTACCCCACCCACTTGGCCCCTACAGGGCCGCTATCATCCCCGTGCCCGACTCCGGCCCAACTCCAAGTCCAGTGCTGCTACGATACCATTGCCACTATCGCAGCCCTACACCCCTTCGTTTATTTATCTGTTATTGTTTGTTTTGACCCTCGGTCATTGCCGGCCGCTGTGCGGCCAACCCCGCTCTTTGGTCCTATTTGCTTCCGGACCCTTCGGCCTTCGGCCCGGGTCCGCTTCTATTCATTCTATCTTCATATATATATCCTGTATACTACATTATAGTACCTTAGCTCTAATATCGATGTGACCACGACCCCTAAGTCCTGACCCCAACAAGGCAACCCCAGTGAGTCCGAAATGAGGGCCAAGAGACAGCTAGGGGGCACAGCACTCCCTTTAGAGTTGCTGAGGCCAAATGCCCTACTCCTGGGCTTTGTTCACGGCATCATGGCCATCGCGGCCTATAGCGGCCTGCAACGGCGACCCTCGGTGCCGACCCCGGACCAGTGTCTAACAGTATTGGTTAGCTCATTCCATTTAATTACCTTTGCCAATATTCCGGAGTTTAACTTCCAAGTTCGGACTTTCTGTTAGATTGGGTGGATTTGGACAACTCTGGAGTGGAATCGGAGACTTAGCATGGAAGGACCTTGGCCTCAGTGACTCATGCAGAGCGCTGTGCCATTGCTGGTTGTCCTAGGGGTCCCTAATTTCGGATCTAGCAAAGGAAAGTCTCTTGGGGGGAAATCAAGTCGATTTCGCACTGAGGTTACAAGTTACTATGTACATTGTATATAAGGAGGGGTCCAGAATCAAAAGGGACAAGGGTAGGATGAAAGGAGACAAAGGGAGCTGGAAGGAGGAACAACACTGAGGGTCAAGGGTTTGACTCAATGGTGTTTCCCAAAGGAGGAGTGAAGGGCCAAGGCCCAAGGAGGAAGGAGGATGGGAGTGGGGAATGGCCAGCTGACTGAATAGAAAGGAAGCAGCAGCCCAAATAGGAATGAGGGAGAATAGCGGAATTGAATAGGACAATGCAATAGTTGCAAGGTCCGAGGTAAGTCCGGAAAGTCCAAACTCAGAAGTTAAACTCCGGAATATTGGCAAACGTATGGAATGAGCTAACCAATACAATGGGTATAAGCAGAGGTGGAGTCAAAGTCCAAGGTTGGAGCTAAGACTGGAGGTTCTGGAGACAGAGATGCAAACAGGATTCCAGAGTGGAGGTCTGGAGTCGGGAGCATAGGTGTTGCATGCTTGTCTGGGAGGTGTCGAGGTTGAGGTCGGACCCAGAATGTTCCGGAGTCAGACCGAAGGTGGTGTCAGAGCCGGAGGTGGGATAACCTCTTGGAAGTTGGCAAGGAGAAGGTGACAGAAGGGAAGTAGGGCTCCGGAGTCAGTTTCAGAGTTCCAGGAGCCTGGAGCAGAGGTCAGGATTGTATGGATATCTTTCCAGACTTACTTTGGACCTTGCAACTATTGCATTGCTCCATTCAATTCCGCTATTCTCCCTCATTCCTATTTGGGCTGCTGCTTCCTTTCTATTCAGTCAGCTAGCCACTCCCCACTCCCAACCTCCTTCCTTCCTCCTTGGGCCTTGGCCCTTCATTCCTCCTTTGGGAAACACCATTGAGTCAAACCCTTGACCCTCAGTGTTGTTCCTCTTTCCATCTCCCTTTGTCTCCTTTCATCCTACCCTCACTCCTTTTGATTCCGGACCCCTCCTTATATACAATGTACATAGTAACTTGTAACCTCAGTCTGAAATCGACCTGAATTCCCCCCAAGAGACTTTCCCTCTGCTAGATCCGAAATTAGGGACCCCCAGGACAACCAGCAATGGCACAGTGCTCTGCATGAGTTGCTGAGGCCGAGGTCCTTCCATGCTAAGTCTCCGATTCCATTCCGGAGTTGTCTGAATCCGCCGTACCTAACATCACACCTGTTTTTTCTTTATTAAACTTCCCCATCAGCTGTTGGACTTATCAGCTGTACTTAACAGTCCACATGGTGCCCATAACAACAATCTTTTGTTCTTTTCATTTGTTTTTCCACATTATTGCTGTTCCATGTGTTTAAAAGCCCTGTACACATAGGAATGGAAAAGCAACCTCCCATTTGACTACAAAAGAGACTGTAGCGCTGAGAGATCCAAGTAAGAAAGAAACCCTAAGCTTGACTCCTTGAGTATTATAAGGAATCCCTGACGATTGTCCAAGATGGACCAGGGGTACGTAATTCTTAATGAGTGTTTGTGATGTTTGTGTTTTGTTAGCACCCAGACCAAACCTAGGATGAGCTCAGGACATCCTAGACTCCCTCCCCACGAATTTGCTTGCATTTAGGGGGTTAGATCTCTAGCCTGCTTGCACTGTGCCGGACTGACTGGCCCTATTTATATCCTGTAAATACTTTTGGGGACCTCAGTCTGAAATCAACTAGAGTACCCCTCTGTCTGGTATGAGTCCCCACCTCTGCAAAGGGGGCTTCCCCCCTCCGAGTCTGTCCTCGCTGAGCTTGCGCTCCTCCACTGGGCCCACACTGCCCGCAAGTTTTGCTTGAAGTTCATTGTAAGTTCAATCTGTAAATAAGGGATCTCCCCCAGATGTCAAGCTCAGGGAACAGCACTCCCCTTGAGTCGCTGAGGCTGCGATCCCACTCTGCTAACTCTGAACAGCGCTTCCAGACGTGCCGCATATTTCCACCCGCATTTCCATACATGTGTGCTCCGACTCCAACAGTACCTCCGACCTCAACTCTGACAGTCCCCTTGCCTCCAGCACCATGGCCATTAATGGCCAGCCTGTCAGGGGACAACTCCTGGGTCCCCATGACCCTCCCCTATGGTCCACAGCCTCTGGTGTAACCAGCCCTATCCAGGGCACAACCTACTGTGGGTAAGGAGATGTATAGATAAAGAGGCAAGTAGATACACTTGCCTACTGTGGGTAAGAAGATGAGAAGGAAGCTAATTTCTCATCTTCCCACAGTGGCCACAATATCAGGCAAACTTCTGGGGATACCCAGAAGTCACATGAGGGCAGGATCATGCGGCATGTGGAGCGTGCAGTGCAGGAAGTCCATGCGGGAAGTCTGTGTGGGAAGTGTAGCATGTCCGGACGTGGGTCCGGGTCCGGGCTAGTCAGGGTGTGTGCCCTGACACAGCCTCAGCCCACATTGGCCATCCTTCACAACCCTTGGTGCATGGTTCTGGCAATCCTGGGATTTGTCATATCCATCCCCGGCCATCGACTTCCACTCCCTCCGATCCCTCCGATCCCTCTGGTCTACCTCCGCTCCTTCTTAACTAACCTCGGAGCTCCTGTATTCCGCAATCCCCTCGGTACCCCTTGATGGTCACCACCCCCTCCTTTCAATTTATTACCTATGCCTCCCTAAGTACAGAGCCCTGAAGGCTTCCGGACAGCTCCGACGTCTGCTAGCACACTCCCGCCTCCGCTGGGCAATACATTCGCTTGCCCTGCAAGCCCACCTTCAGGCCTATCCCTCCTTTCCGTTTCTGGGTTATTGCCTGCCATTCTGTTAACCCTGTAACCCAACTTGTCGGTAATATTCAATCAGCTAATGTCTAACCCTGTTAGCTCTGCTCCGCTTGGCTCTGCCATTTGTGGGCCCGCCCTCGTTGTAACTATATATATACTCAACTTGTACATAGGTTACACCTCAGTAATAAAATCGACTAGAGTTTACCCCCTTCAGTTCTGGTTGCCAGTTTAGTAAGTTAGGGCATGGACATGTTACTTGGCACAGTGCTCCTGGCATAAGTCGCTGAGGCCGAAGCCCTCCGCCACGGAGACATTCCCTCATCTCAACCTGGTCTCTGACAGGATTGTAAGATAGACAACTTTCATACCTTGGTACTATCTGGATGCAAACCGTTGCGAAATTTGCATTGTGGCTCATTTCTGCCACAACACTTTAGAGGCTAATGTGGCACCAGGAAGCTGTACAACTAGTGTAGTTTTGTAGCTCCCTGGTTTCAGAATAATACTCTTTGTTATTTCCAAATAAATCCCAAAATACTTTATGATGTTGGAATCAACATCTTTTTTAACACTGACCACAATCCAATTAAAAAAAAAAATTCGATTTGAAGTTTGACATGCATGGATAGAGTAAAATTGAATTGCAGCTCTTGCTGAATACAGAAAAGGAAACCATTCCTATATACCCTTTTCCCTCCCAAGCACCTGCACTCATTCATGCCAGTACACAGGAAGTGCTGCCTTGCAAATAACCTCAGAGACTACTCCAAGAAGGTATAGTGCTACCTAGTCAAGGGGACATCTATTCAGAATTAAAAAAAATTTGGGCACAGAAAAAACCGCAGAGCAGTGCACCTGAGTCTCAGCATCCCATCCTTTCTACCAAGATCCTGCCTGCCTTTCCTGCCAGAAACCAGCCTGATCCCACTGAAGATGACCTCACCACTTCCAGCAGCTCTGAAATTGGTGATTTCGATATTGACCTGGAAAGCAGTAGTTGGAGCAAGTCTGATGTTGAGGATTTGGATGAAAGCTGCAATGGCACCTCTTACTCAAGCCTCCCACTGGCTGCACGCGTATCTAGGGCTCAAGATGTCCTATCAGAACTGATGAATAAATGCGGTGCAGAAACAAAGTCCGATATGCCAGAACAATGATCAACGGCACTCCATCAGAATGTACCCGATGTCACCATGCAGCCAAACAGAGGGCTATTAAAAGAGAAGTTCAAGAGATGATCAATAAAACCTTGGTTGACCAAAAAAAAGGACCTTACAAGACTTTTTCCCCCATTTCTGTGCATCCAACTCCAACCCCACCCCCATTCCCGGGCCCTGTGATCCAATCATTGTCAGTGACTCCGATGTGAGCAGTTCTGTTAGTTCTGATATGAATGATGCATCAGAAGTGACACACACCAGTCCCCCATGTCCAAACTGGCGACAGGTGGACATGCGCAAAACACCTGCAGCAATGGAAACCGACTCACCAAGTCCAATGGTGTCCATGCATGAACACTCAGAACCACAAATGAAAATCCACCACCATCCCCGCACTTTTGTCTCTGCCCCATCTAGAGAGTTGGCAGAAGAGGCTGCAAAAAGAGTTAGCGAAATTATATGGCCATCTAGGAATGGTCCTGGTCATAAGCACTCAGCATTGGATGACTTAACATGGATGAGACTGGAGCAAATGCTCCAGTTGCTCTGTGTGTACTGTTCTGACCAAGTGGGTTTGACCAAGGACACAGGCTGGATCCATGCTTCAGAGTGGGTAGCAATTGCATGGGACCATGGGTGATCATATGCATCAAAGTTGTGTATGTGGTGTTGTGAGTTCATGGAATGAGTCGATACTTGCAATGGATGAGGATATTAGGCAAGAAATTGAGGCTCACCTCCATAGTCTTTGTTATGGATACAGAGTCTCCAATGACCATATCCGTTGCATAGTCAAAGACTTCTCCTCTCTATTGCTCCCCCTCTTTCTCCCTTTCATCCTCTATCCTGATACCCTACCCTCCTTACTTGTTCTACCCCTTTCCCCCCCCTCATGCAAAGCTTTCCCCATTGGGGTTTTGGTGCTGGCCGAGGTTACTTGTGTTTCACGGGATTTCCCGCAACCTTACCATTTGTAGATAGTCACATGTCTTGTATGGAAACTGCCGAAGGCAGTTCACACTAACTAACAACTACTCTCTACAACTGTCTTGTGTGTCGTCTTCTGTAACAACCCTTCCTGTGACTCAACTGAACCTGTGTGACTGTACAACTCACAACATGTCTTATAAGTCTGGTTATGTCGAGTCCTCTAACAGTCCTCGCTGTGAGAACTCGAGGTCGTGAGTCGAAGACTCTCAACATGTGTATCATCCTATGGATTCTGTACCCTACAGGACTTCATCACTCCGCTCTCCCCCAGTGCTCAACAGACAACATCACATCACGATCTTGGAGATCGTGAATACTCTGAGGTCCACTTTCCCATGATGCCGGCACGTTCGCTATGCGAACGCCAAGTAGCTGCCCATCCACTGTCTGTTCCCTCCTTCGTCAGTCATCATATTCCCCCGCCAATGGTACGTTCCCTTTGGGAACGCCAAGTCACCAAAGGCCCTGTTAGTCAATCCTCATTGCATGCTCATGATATCAACCTGCTACCGGTACGTTTGTGCTGCGAACACCAAGTACCCGATGGCAGTTATACAAAGTTCTCACCCACCTCACGAGTTGCAACCTCGCACACGGTACGCTCCATTGAGGAGTGCCAAGTACCCATGGCTGACCCGTCCATCCTGATGTCTCTGACTACCTACCATCAATTCCTTAATAGCTCACTACATCACCAATCATGATTGATGGGAATTCGATCGTCCACTCCCATGCAAGACTGGGATCACTCATCGATTACATATCCCATTATGGTACAGACTAGATATGATGTTCGTCATCCCGCTATAAGAATGGATCGAGGAATGGGGATTTCCCCCCATCTCCGTAACAGTCTTGGTCCATACATCTCAGCAATGGATGTTGTTCAATTCCTGAATACTCCAGAGATGCATCAGCGCTTGGGTCATGATAAACCAATATCTGTCCAGACAGGACAGCAGTGGCTAAAAAGGATGGGGTACTGCTGGCAGAGGGAGAAAAAAGGCGTATTCTGACAGTCATGAATGAGAAGATGTTGTTTCATATTGGCAGAGCGTGTTTCTGCTGGCAATGGCTGAATATTGAAAGTCAATGAGGAAATGGGACGAAAATGGGGAAGAGGTAACTGAACCCACCACAGGACATCATACTGTTGTCTGGTTCCATGATGGATCTATCTTCTATGCTCACGACTGTCGGAAGGTCTGCTGGGTTCATGACTCTGAGACCGCAAAGCCCTATGCCAAGGTGAGGGCACATCCATCATGGTTGCCGATTTTGTCTCAGCTGACTACGGCTGGCTCAAAGGTGGTGATCATGCAGCCCGGGTTCTGCTTAGGCTGGGCAGTAATAGGGACGGATATTTTGCAAGTGATGATGTAATTGAACAAGCATCAAACATGATGGGGATCCTGGAGGAGCATTACCCAAATGATGATCACGTCTTGGTTTTTGACAATGCACGCTGAAGGAGAGAACGAAGGAAGGTCAGTTGGGAGGTTCAAACAAGACCACCACCAAGCTGTTCCCTGGTTCTTTAGTTAGGATGGGGAAGTGTACTAGTATTATTTGTTGTAAATATAGTCAATCCGAGTGTTTTGGCTAATTCTATTTTTATGGGTTAGTCTAAAGTTTCTGGGAATTGACTTACAGATAAACCGAGCCCTGCGGAGCTGTTCCTTTATTGAAATTTCTTGATTTGTCTAGGTGTAATTCTGTGTAGCGTTGTTTAATTTGGAATTTAACTTGAATTAAATCTTCTACTTGGTGAAGTTTCAAAGATTCTACTCAGTTAATGGATTTGGATTGTGTCTGGAGTGTCCCTTGAGTTTGTTTTATTTTTGTCTTATTTTATTGCTTGTTTTAACAGTAGCAAAATAACTGTTTTGTGTTGACACTTTGAAATCTGGAGTGTTAACCAGCTCTCCTGTTGAAATATCTACTTAATATTTCTCTCCTTTATTGCTGCTTTTTACTACAGTGGCAATCTTAACTGTATATCACTTTTTCGCACTGGAGTGACAACCAGAAATGCTTGAGAAAAATAATACTCTATTTTCTTACTTCTCTAAGGGGGGCCAAAGGTCGCAGAAAGGGTCTCCCTTTTATACTCCTTGGGTCGCCTTCCTTTTTCACACTCTACCTCGTATTTACAGGATTTATTTACAGTGTATTTTTCTCAAACTGAATAAAAAAATGAAAATTTCATGCTATAGTTCTACTGCGCTTTGCTGCACTGAACTGCAGCTCTACTGTGGTCAGACTGCGCCTAGAATCCTTATTGTCCTTCCTCGCCTAAGCTATTTTAATGGTTAATTAGAACTTGACTGCGCTGCATTTGTCGCAGTTTCCTATTTCAAATTCCTCATATTTACCATTAAATTTGCTATGACTCGGTGATTATGAATTCAAACTTCGCATTACTATGCGTATGGCTGTGCTGAGACCTTCAGCTGATTTATTCCATTTTTATTCAGCGACATTTAGTTAAAATGAGACTTGAAATGGTAAATGAGTGAATTATTCAGGTTTAAAACCGAAAGAAAAGTTGCTAGTAGTCAAGTATTACTCAAACGAATGTATTATAGCTCTCCACTTCATTAGAATATCATTCCCTAAAATTCCCGCCATGGTCCATCATAGTTTAGTGGTGTCAGGGCTTGGTCCTTGATCGGGGACAGCCTGACCTCGGCCTTAGGTGTATGCGGTGTTCCAGGTGCCTGGGCACTTGATCCTGTCCTCAGCTCCTCAAACTCACTGAAGGGACTAAGTGGGGACTGAGTTGTCATGTATTACAGAGGGTAACTACAACTTGGCTAAGCGGGGACTGAGTTGAGAAGAAGGGTAAGTTTCCCTATTCCCCACTTGGCTACTATAAAAGGGAAGTGTACTGTACAGTTCGTAACGTGACTCTGGGTAGAAGCCGAGCATGTTCCCGTGAATCGGAAAAGGTGTCACATGGGTTAAGGCGAGTTGCTCGCCTTGACCCACGTGATTTTTCCCGCGGGCTCACATGCGGGCTGAAGTTGTGAGAGATATGTAGGGATGGGGAGGTCAGGGAAGAGGGGGAAGTCTGGGAGGGTGGTTCTGGGGTGTGGTTGGGTGCCCTGACAGCAGGGTCAGGGGCTGATCCCTGACAAGTGGATTTCGTGGATTTCATTCATCTTCCCTGATTCCAATTTGTATTATCACATCCTAATCCTCCATATGTGTTGTTCGTTGTTATAGTAGGTCGTCCTCGAAGATATCATATTTTTATGTATTTTATTTAGGGCTCTGGACCTCTTGAAGCTGTCTTCCCACGTGTTTTCAGGTTTCTAACTTCATGTCCTTGTATCTCATTCATTTCTGGATGGTTTCTCACGTTCTTGGTATCATAAATTTTCATTTATTCCCACCTTTCCAATGGTACTAAAGTTGTGTTCTCTTTCCTGGTATTCGTCGAGTTAGCAAAAGTTCGTGTGCGCATTCGGTAATCATGTGTGTCGTTCCCATAGTTGTTCGTATGCAGGTGCTGTTTCTGTTTAATTGTTCGGGATTTATAGTATGCGTGGGTGTTTATATCCTTCATATGTGCTTCTGTGATTTATTTCAGATTTTTCCCTCATGATTCTAAGGTTGTTTTGCACTTTCCATGCTTTGTTTTGACTGGGCTCTTCCTTATTTGGATGGAAATTGGTCTTTGCGATCTGCCAAAGTGCGGATCTCGGTTCCAATGGCCAGTTCCCTTTGCATTGCCACCCTCACGTGTCATTAAACATGATGCAGATTTCTATATTCCCATCATGGGTATAACTTCACAACAGCTGGACCATTTGGGCTGAAAATTTGCATAACTATAGTTCCCTATTTTTCATAATTTCCGTGTACATTTCGTTGTATGTTTTAATTATGGATCCTACGTAAACATCGTCTTTTCCCTGAGCTCGGACTTTTGATGTCGCTATTCCCGTTATTGGATATCTCATTAATGCATGATCCTTTATTATGAAAATTTGGGGATTAAG